CGAAAGTCGACGGGAATCAACAGTGGAAATAACGGCCCTAATGAGAATGATGTATCACCTAGGCGAAATTGTCTTTATCGCGCGTCCGTCCGGATAATGAATGAATTAAGTTGGCCATAAGCCACGAAAGAAAATTACCCCGAATAAATAACAGCCGGAGACAAAGCTCCCCGCTGGGTGGCGACCGTATGAGAATTCTTGCTGACGGTAATATTTCCCCGACTGTGTCGCTGCGTTCGTAACTGTAAATTATTCCGCGAAACGCGTTTTTTGCGTCGGTAGTGTTCTTTAGATCCCGCTCGCTTTTAATCTGCGGCCAATTTACACGTTGTCGCTTTATTACTTTTTTCACTCCCACCCTTACCCGGCCATCCGCGAATTTTCGTCGCGTTTTTAATATCTTTATTCGATTCAAGCTTCTCGCATCCGTATGCCGGCAGCACCGACGGAAAATCATCGTTATTTTCGGCGCCGAACATATATCCTTTTTCGATTTTATCCGCAAAGACAGTCAGGAGAGCCATTTTTCCAGCAAATGTTGCTGTAATATCAGTGATAATAACCTTACATACATGTTGCTACTACTACAAAATGTATTCGGCGCCGAAAATAACCATAATTTTCTATCAGTGTCGGCGCGAAATTTCGATCACACCACCTCGTAGGCTTTAGGCATCACGCTGCAACGCACTCCGTTGTTCCACGGATAAACCTCTGTTCTGTCTCCTAAGGTTATTGGCTGGAAGAGGGAAGTACGAGCGCTTTACTTCAAACGTGAACATTGCTGCAGAATATGTCAAAGAATCGCAAAATACAAGCACTCCTCTTTGGAGTGGAACTTTACCGGAATATCCGGCAATACCGATTGTGAGGAACGAAGGAAAATCGAGATGCAAAGGGCCACTTTTGTCAAGACTTTATAGAACTTATAGAAAAGAAACTCGGTAAGTCTACAATAGAGAGAAACATTCGACGTTCTCTATGAATAAAGACAGGTTGCTTATTCGTTATTATCCTTTGACGTGAAGGTACGTGGGAAGAATTATTGTGCAGTTATCACGCAAGCTTAAAGCGTAAAATTACCTGAGTCTGTGTGTTACCTCCCGTAATGCGGTGGAATACTCGCGCAAGGCATAATCAATTTTTCACCGACTCGTCAATGGAAGCCGGAGCGTTGTCTACTCAATTCATCCGTCGCTCTTCAAGCGTCGAGTAAATGTACGAAGGGGGAGTATTGATATTGTAAGGCCGTCGTAAAGATAGTAACGCCATTCTCATTCGACGTACGAAAATACATCACTTCGCGATCTCTTTTTCCTCTCGAGGAATTCTCTCCCCGATTGTGCTGAGATTATCATCGAGTCCTGCACAATGCAACACCCACGCGAAGGATGTTGAATAACGGCACTTTATTATATTACGGAACGAAGTTTACTTACCACGGGTATCGCCGTTGAATTTTAGAGAGGCAGCAGCGAAATTATCATACCGCTCTCGAATACTCTGCGCGCGCGCGACCAGGGGCGACGGGCGGGATGAAAAATGGCCTGCGGGATGGAAAAAAACAAAATTCTGCAACGATGTCCGCGATATAGTTTGCGGTAATGGCGAATTTATTCTCGATAGAAAGCTCGACGCCCGTGCGGAGATTAAATTGATCCTCGCCTCGTCGTCGTCGTCGGCGCCGCTTAAGAAAGTAAGAAAGTCGCGCGAGAGCGGCGGCGAGCCACCTGTATAATTAGGCGTAGGCCGCGATAGCAGTTGCGGGGCCAACACGCATAAACGCCTCGCACACGCGAGATGGTGCGGGTCTGGATGTTTGCCATTTTTCAAACGCGACCGAGCGTGTTGGAAAGGGGGAGGAGGGCTCGCAAAATCTTATCGTCGGCCAGAAACCGGCGTTATACGGCGCGGGCGCGCGGTTATGAGGTCGGTACTTTTCGCAGGAAACTGCAAATCTCTTCCTGTCTAAGAACGAGTTATAATAACGCGCGCGCCGCGTGCGATTCCGCGAATTTCTAAAGCGGCGAAATCGATTCCTGTGCACGTCGATGCACGAGGCAAGGCGCATGTCAGCGTTTCGCCGAAGGCGCTTCCACCGGCGAGCGGGTGAAATCTGTGGCGTGGTATTATTCTAAAATTTGAAATGCGAAATTGTCTTATGAACGATACATGAAACGCGCGCTATGGCACACGTGAGATGTTTTATGGAACAGTATCGATTGCACAGAGCCAAGTTCGAGTAACGATTACTCGAACAAATGTTGCGTCAGCTTATCGCGTTGTAAGTCTACGTGTATCATACACTTTATGTATACCGATGGAATAATTTCGCAGAGATCGAATGATAATAATGGTGAACGACCTCTCCGAGATTTCTCTCCCGTACTTCGCAAAAGCGTATGATAATAGGTGGGTGCGAAATGTTATTTTTTTTCAAACAAAATTGCAGACGAAACTATCCGGTTTCGAAGTGTCTTGCTATCTTTATGAATATAATGAAGAACATCGATTCGATATCTTTTGGAGGACTAACGAGGTCTCGTTACTTTTTTTCTAATAACCTAATCGCGGCTACATGGGAAAATAATTCCGTTGATTTAATTGAATGTTTTCGTTGCCCGACTAGACGTAAATTCGGTTGTAGGAATAGAAAGATTCTTGTAGGTTTCTAGCCGGTCAATTGTTTTCAGTTATCTCAACCTAGTTTTAATGCAGCTGAATGTTCACACGAGTGTTTTCAGTTGCGGTAACAGAGATATCGCTTCTTGTCGCCGAGTTTTTATTTTTTTGTCATCATTTTTTGCGAGTTCCCATCTGGTACCTATATTCTGTTGCTGGAACTGAGTTTTTTTTCTCCGTGTGCAGTGATGTAATATTTTTATTTTTTTTTTCGTGGGAGAATATAAAATACAATTATTATATGTTATATATCGTATATATAATACCTTTCTATATGCGGCTTTGTAGACACAAAAAAGACATGCAACTTTTGCTTAAATAATTTTTCGATATCTCTCACTGTTTGTTAGTTATTCAGCAAAGAAGAAAAATCTGTATTTTTTTCAAGAGGTGATTTTACTTCCTCAAACCGTAATTCCGCACAAACAGAAAATAGTTTTGCGTTACAGATGAACTACTCTACTTGCACACAATGTTTCAAAAACGCACACAGGTTCAAAATTTACTGAATTTCCGGGTTGCCTAGGTTCCCTTGTTAGTAATCTACAAAGTCAATGTAAATATACAAGTTTATTTTCTTCTTAATAATCATATTAATATAATCATGCACGTTAAAATTTAATGAGGAAACAAAAGATTATATTGCTCGAAATCGACGTGCAAAATCCTAGAAGTGGTAAGCGTTCTTGCAAAAAGTGTTTCCTCATCGTCACTCTCGAATCATAACACACGGTACATTAGACTCCTTACTGTGATTAATATACCTGACTCGGAGAAGTCGCTTGAATATTGCTGATATCACAATGTGTTAGTTCTAGAACGATATTACTTAGACTCTTAAATATTTACGGACAAAACAGGCAAAAACGGCCGGCCCGAACCGAGCGAGTACCTTCTCGCTGCGAATTGCTCATAATTTCCTGTCGAGTTCGCGAAATTTAACGAGCGTGGTTTCCTAAACCGATCTATTCCTTTCTTTTTTGCAAGTTAAACCCGATTAGTTTATTTTTCTTAGCGTATAAACAAGTGAGAATGTGTGTACACGCGAATGAACGGGTACCCGCATAGAAAATTTTTTTGCACAGTAAAGAATTTTGTGTTAAAAATGGTCCACCGAAATTCTGCGTCACATCAAAATGAACATGTTAAAAAATAATGTGTTAACGAAATGAATATGTTAATTTAATATTATATTTGTGTATTTTTTAACATATTTTCCACGTCGGAGCAACGTAAAAATTTCAGTGGACCGTTTTTAACACAAGTCTTCACCGTGTGAGATCTAATCAGGATCCAATTCGATTTCCCAAAATAATTATGGATTCTACTTGAAAAGTTTATGCAGTATTCGATTGGAGATATAATGTTTCAAACATACGATTCTAAGTGGAAAATATAAATAGATTCTATTTCATCATACCCAAAGACTTTTTCGGTTTCCATTTTACATTACGATTAAACAAAATATATGAAACACTTTAAGTATATTATATTTTACAAATATACGCTACAAGCGTATTATTAAGCAGATAGTAACATTACAAATATAACCCCGTTTTTTAATCTCCTAATCTGATATTCGGTCAATCGATATTCTGTCATTCGATCTAACGATGATAGTCGTGACACGAAGCAAGATGCGGCTCACAGCCAATCGGCATTACAAAAAATAGGCATTCCATGTTTGGAATAAGAATAGAATTCTCAACTGGGCTACGTTTCGATATTCACCACCATTACTGGAAATTGATAGTATACGTAACATAAACTGCAGATTTTCAATATTGACAGTGAATATAGGAATGCAATCTTGGCATCGAAATAGAATAACTTATTTTCGAATAACTTTAGATACTCTAATCGGAATCTATGCTGTATCTGGGAAAATCGTGAGATATTTCTATACGGCTGCTGACAATTAATCTCTGACGGTTCGTCTGCGGCTTTCTCGAATTACGCTCGGAAACTTTTTACGCGACGCATAGTACACACATCGACATTTTTCATTTCTCGATTCTGTAATCTATTCTTTTTATCGCCGTGACGCAAAGCACGACGAAGCGATACACACACGTGTCACACAAAACTCCTTGATATCAGTCGATACTGAAAGCGCGAAAAATGTCGGTTATCGTGCGTGATTATCAATCGATCCTCGGAAACGAGCAGAAGCAGCGTCGAGCTTATCTGTAGAAAATAACGATATTCCAACGATGTATCTGTTGTTATGAATTTTTCACAGATCTCTACGACATCGTGAAGTGTCATCAGTATCGGTATAAAAGCGGTATCGCGGACGATCGAGAGAACCGGTCACGATGTTTCGCTCGTGTATATCAATCGCAGCGCTGGTCACTCTGACCTCGGCGGCGCTCCCGAACAAAGATTGGTACAGGAACAGTCTGGTGTACCAGATCTACCCGAGGAGCTTCAAGGATAGCAACGGCGACGGCATAGGCGACCTGAACGGTATCACGAGCAAACTCGAGCACATCGCGGACATCGGCGCCCAAGCGTTATGGATGTCACCGATCTATCCGAGCCCGCTGTCGGACTTTGGCTACGACATCTCCAATTTTACCGACATTCACAAGGACTACGGCACCTTGGACCATTTCGACCAGCTCGTGGCGAAGGCAAAGAGTCTCGGGTTGAAGGTGTTACTCGACTTTGTGCCGAATCACAGCTCGGACGAGCACGAGTGGTTCAAGAAGAGCATCCAACGGATCAAGCCGTACGACGAGTATTACGTGTGGCGCGACCCGAAAATGGTAAACGGCACTAGGCAACCGCCGAACAACTGGCTGAGTGTATTCCGGGGTTCCGCCTGGGAATGGAATCCAACGCGTAAACAATATTACCTGCACCAATTCGACAAAGGCCAGCCGGATCTCAACTACCATAGCGATGTGCTGCAGCAAGAGATGAAGAACGTGCTGAAATTCTGGATGGCTCGGGGCGTGGAGGGCTTCCGCATCGACGCTATCAATCACATGTACGAGGACGACCGTTTCCTGGACGAGCCCCGAATAAACGTGCCCGGCTTGCCGGACGACGATTACGACACCCTGGATCACATCTACACGAAGAATCTGCCCGAGACTTACAACGTTCTCCGATCGTGGCGACAAGTGCTGGACGAACACTCCGAGGACGCCGACATGAAGATGATCTTGACCGAGGCCTACGTGGACGTCAATCTCACTATCAAGTATTACCAATCGGGCTCGACCGTACCCTTCAACTTCATGTTCATCGCCGAACTCAACAACAAGTCCAGCGCGGTCGATTTCAAGCTGCTGATCGATCGTTGGATGAACCATCTACCTAACGATCCGGCGTACGTCGCGAACTGGGTGGTGGGCAATCACGACAACCACCGCGCGGCCTCGCGATTCGGCGTGAAACGGGCCGATCAGCTCTCCATGTTGGCGACGATCTTACCCGGTGTGAGCGTGATTTACAACGGCGACGAGATCGGCATGGTCGACCGACCGTTCACGTACGAGGAAACGGTGGATCCCGCCGGATGCAACGCCGGCCCCGACAGGTACTATCGGCGGCCGCCGATGAATACGAATCACGTTCCCGTATCGTTCGCCTTACGTAACACGATAGATTCGGAACGTCAAACCCGCATATATTATTCGTACACGTATATTTAATATGAATCTCCCTGCAAATCTCCGTCACTCGTTTAAATAATCATTTTGACCGTCGGATTCTTTTCCCTAAAGCGAGCTCTTCTTTCCTCTGTTATTGATGGAACTTGTAACCAAAGTCTGATAAGACCGAATCCGGTGTATTGCCAAGTATAATCCAGCTCGGACTATCATTTTTTATTGTCTTCCAGTTTTTTTCATTATTCCGTGTTATCATTGTCATTATTTCATTTCATTTTATTTTATTCATTTTTCTTAGGAATAAAGGGAGAGCATTGAAAACAGCTGTAAAGCTGGTGCTGCACCTTTTGGCATTGCAATTAACATATATTTGTAACCCGATTATTAGTTTCCAGTATTGTATGTTCAATAAGTAATTATTATTATTATTATTATTATTATATCCGCTTTGGTTTAGGTCGAATTGGGTCTTAACTTGATTTGCAAGATTTGATTATTAGTCACCGAATGTGATCGCACGTAAAATTTTACGAAAGTTCTCGTATAAATCAAAATTGATATTACGTAATTTTACTCAATTACGGAAAAATCTGGCAAATAAGTTTGAAGTAAAATGAGCCTTTTTTACTCACAACAATCGCCCTGCTCTACCAATTTCCAGCGGGAGATTCAAGGATTTCAGATTTTTCAGCAGTTTAAAAGTTACCTGCATCCACTGCAACGATCAACTTTCCCCGAAAAATCGTAAAATCGCGGCTCAACTGGACTCTAGTATCGTCATGTTTTCAGATATCATCTGAAATCGCGGGACCCGGAGAGGACGCCTTTCCAATGGGACAACAGTACGAGCGCCGGTTTCTCCACGAACGCCACGACCTGGCTTCCGGTCCACAGCAATTACAAGACCCTGAATCTAGCGGCGCAGAAGACCGCGACTGTGTCGCATTACAAAGTATTCAAGTCCTTGGCGCAGCTGAAGAGGAAGCCCGTCATCGAGCAGGGCAAGCTCGAGATCGTCCTAGTCACCAAGAAGATTCTCGGTGCGGTGCGACGACACGACGCATCCATCGTCGCGCTCATGGTTAACTTTGACAACTCGCCGGTCACCGTCGACGCCAGGGCCTGGATGAATATTCCGGAGCGACTGATCGTCTATGCGTCTAGCGTAGACTCCAAGCTGCTCGCGGGAACGTACGTCGACACAACTCGCGTCACCATGCCCGCTTCGGCCTCTGTTGTGCTTGCCACGGAGGATTTGCTTTAGGAAATTCTCGCCCATCTCGAGCGTTCTCTCAGCTAACTCTCTCTCTCTCTCTCTCTGTCTCTCGGTTAATACGAAGCTGTTCTGCATGTGCATGTATACGGAGACACGCCTGGCAGGTCCATCGCCATCGGGGATCGTCTTGCGAGAGCGACCAATCCGAGTGGATTGGTGGAACATGGACAAACGAGGGGAATGTATTTAGTAAATGAACGAGCGATCTCGGCGTTCTGCATTACGGTCGGCGACTCATTTCGCCGCGGGGGATTAATTATTGCGATAGCATTTAAGGCCGATAATAAGTTTGTTCGTCCGTGTACCTGTGTGGAGGATGTGTGCTCGTTCGACGGAATAAATTTCATTGAAGCCGTAAGCGATGAGCCCTTCCCTCGCGTAATAACGCGAGAAACAGCGTTACGCGTGAATCGCGTGACGATATCGACTGGACTCTTAATTCAGTTCCTGTGTGTCACTCTGGTAATTAATTTCTCTCTCGCCGTTATCCCGATATTAACTTCGTTCCTGCCCTCCGCTTCCTTTTGCAATCAAGTGCGTTTGCTTGTTTCCTTTCATCGGGTAAGTTACATCCCCGTGAAGGAACGCGAGATATTTCTTCAGCTTGATCAGCAGAAATCGCGATTCTTCTTCAATATGTTCCACGCGGTGTGAAAATATTTCATTTCACGTTAAATATCGTCCCGGTCGGCGGAGCGCTCTCGTAGCATTATATTTTATTTATCACGGATATAACACGATAATATTCTCGCTGACATAAAACTGGCGGAATCTGCGGTATCTTTACGTAAAAAAGACTGCAAAACGACGGAAAACCATGACGCGACGAACGCACGGTACGTTTCGCGTTTGATTCTCTGTGACGACAGCAGCGCGCACGCGCGCACGTGGAGAGTCTGATCTCTCGATAAATATTATTCTTTGGCAAATACCGATGGTACTTTATTCAGTCCGATTTAGATTACAACTCGCAACTACGCTGTTTGTTGTTTATGTCTACGCGAATAAACGAGTAGCCTGCGACACGCCGAATATTATTTACTATCGGAAAATCTGCAAAATCCCGATGTACACGCGTGTACGCGCGCGGGCGCACACAGGCAAATACGCTTTGCCGTTCGGCAAATATAGCAAGACAAGCAGAATTTGGACATCTGTCTGATTTACGATTTCATGTATTTGCGAGAGCGGCTTAACGAAATAACACCGAGTGTTATAAAAAGGATTAAAAAGTTTATTACGTGCAGTGCCCGTCAAAGGGATTAAAAGGACCTTTGTCAACACATCTCCCGCGCCGACCCTCCCGCGTATTTCACGTTTCAACGACGCGCGCGCGCGAACTACTTTACTCGCTTTACTTGCTTCCGTCAACGGAATGAGCTCACGTCGTTCGCGAGCTATTCTTACCTATTGACATTATTAATGCGCCGTGGGAACCTCTCTTCTTCCCGCCACCGACAAATTATTCGTGTGAGTTAACAAATTTTACAAATACAAAACGCAAGGCTCTCACGGTATTCGAGGAAACTTTGCGAAGAAGGGTGGCAGTTCGACGACAGTTTATGAACGCGTATTAATGAAAAACGCGTCTTATTGGATATTCCGAGTTCTCTTATCATATAGGATAGCGCGCGACATGATCCATTGTTTGCCTTGTGAATAAAACTTAACTTTATTCGCTGTACAATACTGGAAATGAACATCCGAAATAAAATAGTAAAGGAAAGACCATTTCACGGGAATTTATTCTCTGTGGAGCACACGTTCAATATGACCGCCGTTCTGTTTGGTAACTTCGCGCATACGAACTGCGACATTGTTAATCACTCGTCGGCACATATTCTCTGTTATCTCGTTACAGGCCTGAATGAATAATGCTTTCAGTTCCATTATTGTTTACTATTAATGTTGCTTCGGATTTCCTGCGCGACATTTTCGATTCGCGTGTAATTTCACGTCGGTTTCCTCGTCGTTTTGAATGTGACAAAACCGGCCCCTAAACAGTCCTGATTTAAACTCCCATGATCTCTTTCTCTGTGGGTTTTTCAAAGAAGAGTCTTTTTTTCTCAAAGAAGTTCCAAGCAACAATGAAACTAAAAGTATTACTCACTCGGCCAGTCATCTTTTCCTTATCCTTCCTTCTTACCTTCCTTCCAAAAGGCCACACTTCAAAACAACGATTAGCTTGTAAGTTGTAAGTACATAAGTTGTACTCCTAACTTATAAACGCGTAAAATCATCCGTATTTCACTATCGTCTTGTACTTTCATTTCATTTCGGGCTAAGGCCAACTACAAGCATATGCTGTTTCCTCACCCGCTGGGCTTCGTTTACTCAACGATCACATGTATGAATTATACATGCACACCGCAGGCATCCAGACAGCGTGCGATAACGCTGTTATTACTATTATTATTACTATTGTTCGAATTACCATTATATTCTAAAAGAGTTCGCAACCGGCCTTTCGTATCCGATCACAAGTTTTCGGGCCCTTATCGGGGTGAGGCGAAAAATTCAACGGAAGATTTCCATACCCTCCCTTGACCGCAGCGCGGGCTACCAGGGAGACTCGCGTACTTTTCGTCGTGGTGGAGAGAAGAGAAAGAGCGCGGAGCGGCGAGAGAGGAAACGGATCTACTACAGGAAAGCCGATAGAAGTTCGATCACAATGGCTAAGACGTCAGGCCGCGAGACGGGGCCGGGTTTATACGCGTGTCTTCGCTCTCGTGTGCACATGAGTAGTCGGGAAAATTCTCGAGTTTTCATGCCGACAGCCGGCACTATGTACCGGCGTGCTGCACCAATCACGCTGAGTGCACATTCTTCAACCTCCTCTCTGTCTCGTGGACTGTCTCTCTCCTCTCCTCTCTTCTCTGCCGTTCTTTCGTCCCCAAGACAGCCCGGAAGAGATGCGCCACTCCCGCTACCATCCAGCCAGGGCAGCTTCGTTTGTGTATCGTGAATATAACGTGCATGTGCGACGAGCATATGCGGCAGCCGGGGTACACGCGGGTCGGCGAAACGGCTTGCATTTTCAACCGTCGCTATCTTTCTTCCGACGTTCTTCTTCTTTCCAGTACGCGCAACCGCGACCGGATATTCGGCGCTGGAAACCTCGGCGGCCGCCGGGCTTTGTTTACTCACCGGTAACTCAGAGGCTCTTAATTAATTCACGTATTCTCCCTCCCTCTCTATCTCTCTCTCCCTTCCTGTACTGTCCCCTTCCCCCTCCTCCACTATCTCACCTGCCTCTACGCTCGTTTTTCTTTTCGTTGCGCTTTCTTCTCGTCTTCCCTTCGCTTTTGACTTCGTTCGGGTAATGGACGTCCGAGAGAAACGCCGCCTCTGATATTCCGACGTCGACAGCGGCAGCAGCGATTCTTCGCGTTACTCCTCGCTTCCTTCCCGGTATACCTGTGCTCTCTTTGATATTTAAGAGTATTCGAATAAATGAAAAATGTTCGCTTGTATATATGCGCGCACTTGCACGCCCGCGCAAACCGTTGTGCGTATCGCAGTACGAGGCAATTGCTGAGGGTGGCAACGTAGACGAGCGTCCGCTTCGCCGATGCAGAAAATTGTTTCGCGTTTCGCTTAATTATGCAAGGAAGTGTACGAATGCAATCTGCCATGTTAAAGGTCAGCATATTCGCAGGCGGATCCTTTGTAAAGCTCGACTTTTTCTTTCTTTTCGCTTTCCGTCGAACGACTGAAGGGAGCAACGGGCGAAACAATTGCTACCGAAGTACCACAGGGTGGCGAAGATGAAACGCGGGATATTACGGCGAAAAATCCATGCCAATGTTCGTAGACGAGATATTTGTAACGTGTTATCAGTGAAATGGTCGTAGGTTGGAGTCGAGGATTCGTTGTTTCTTTATTGAGATAATTGTAGCATAAAATAAGAATTTTTAAGAACTCATTGAAACTCGCACTTATAGATTTACAAATGATGTAACCGTAGGCGCAATTCAAATACAATCGGCCATTCGGAAACTGAGATATTCGCAACTAAAGGTGACACTTTTTATACATTATAATAATAAACTTATGTAGAGGCCCCTTAATATCGCCACTGAATATTCGACATTCTACGATATAACCTCAAATCGTGTGATTAATCAATGAATGCCGATTTAAGTTTCGAGTATCACCCGAGTCTCAGTAGATCCGTTAAAAGCGCCCGATAAAATCGGAACATTTTGTACAATAAATAATTTAACGTACCTGGAAATACAGATATATCGCTGCCCTTGTCTTGGCTTGCTGTCTTGGCTTCCCGATTCAGCATCGTGTCTCCCAGCTGCTATGGCGTGGAATTCCGGATATTCACTGATACTGACACCAACACTGACATTGGTATTGACACCTGCATAGATACGATTCGATCGGAGAAACGCGTGTTAATTAACGCGATGCGCAACGAGAGCCCGATTCAACACTTTAAGAATCGATGGAGATGATAATTAACGCACCGATGCTCCGCAGTATTCACTTTGATCGCCGGCTCGTGACGTCATGTAGCTTTCGGTCACGGACAAATACGCGACGAGAGTCCGAAACAATCGGCGCGGTGATCGTCGTCGTTGACCAATCAGTGATGCGTACACTCGCGCGATGGCCGAGAGACCGCAACAATCAAGGCTTTTAAAATATTTCGGACCTTTGGCCAAATAATCGTCATACTTCGCGTATTTTTTCGCTTACTTACCGCGGAATAATATATCGATACGTAGTGTTACAAATCTATTTTTTAAAGTAACTAGAGATGCAGATATAAATTTGAGATAAATAATTAAATACGTCGGATATTTTGTCGCCGTGATATGTTTGCCGAAAGTACGTCGCGCGTTAATTAGCACATATTTTTCTGATCAAATCGTATTTTTGCGAATATCGGTGTCACGAGAGAATGAATATCCGGAATGCCAGGACAGAGTAGCTGGGAACAGGATGCTGGATCGGGAAACCAGGACAGAGAATGC